CACGTTGCTTGCACCTAGTGAATAATAAAAGAAAGAATTTCTACTACAAACTTCAATAACCATGGCAACATGTCATCAAGAAAGAGATTGGGGAAATAAGGACACAAATAATCTTGTCACACATTATTGCAACTAGTCAGTTCACTATAGACGTGGTTAATCTTTTTTCTTTATTTAAATTGTAAGTTAATCTTATTTTTGAAAATAAACAAGTTATTTTTCAATTTTTCCTTGTCGGTTCACTATAGTCCACAATTAAAATATTGCAGTAGACATTTAAATCTTCGATAAGTTGTCATCTAAATATATCTCACTTCACATTTTTGAACACCAACCCAGTTGATCAGTGAAACTCAACTTCATAAAGTTGAATATGCAAGGGCTAAGAAAATTACATTTTTGCCCTTATTTCCACTTTTCATTACGGAAATTATCGTTCTAATCCAGTTGAATATACAAAACACATCCAACTAAATATATCAATTAATCACGATTATGTTCAAGATTAATAAAATTAATTGATTAGCCTTTGGGCGATCTTTAATAATTTTATAATCTTTGAAAGTCAATAAACTCTTGACAATAATTCTAATGTCATCTTCATTTATAAGCAACAAATATCAAGAGTAATTAACAAATAAATTATGTAATTTAGTGTTCGCAATATCATAAGGTTTTGCCACTTTGGTGACTAACGAACAGCATTAATCAAACATAAATTATATAAACGGGAAGCATTTATCACTTACTGTTTATTTACAGTTTTACAAATTCTTATTCAGCCACAAAATACATAATAAATCCATCACTTTATTAACATGTTTGAGCAATAAGCAGAACATATGTCGGCAGTGAAAGACACAAATAATCACAATTAATTATCATTCAAATGGAAACCTAAAATCTCATATAATAATTCGAAAATTCTTATCTAGTGAAGTGAAGTATCTCCAATGTCTAATTACGGCACTGTAAATAAATATATATGTAGAAATTTCTGTCATTTCTTGGAAATTGAAGCTTTTAGATAGCCATGTCAACGAGCCGAAAAAAAAAAGTTCGGACTTGGCTCGAGCTTTTTTTGGCCCAAGTCAAGCCGAGCCAAGCTCGGCCAAAAAAATTAGACTCGGCCTGAGCTTTCGGGCCGAGCCGGCTCGAGTTTTTTGGTTTTTTATTTTTAAAGGCTACCTGCCAAAGGCAGCTCTTTAAAAAAAGGGAAATTATAAAAAATCAGGTGTTTAAAGATCGATTTTTAAAAATCAGGTCTACAATTTATTTATACAAAAATCAGGTATTTTATTGTAAATATTAAACACTTAATCTATTCAAACCCTAAATTAATTCATTTCTCTCCCAATCTATTTATCTCTCCACTCTCTCACCCGTCGCCTCCACCACCACCGTTGCTTCTCCTCCCTTCTCC